TCTTGCCCTCTCCCTTTCTTTTCCTCTTTCTTTCTGTTTTTTGTTTGTTTTGTTTTTATTAGGTAATGGTTTCCAAAGTGTATGTCATATGCTACAACCATGGTCACAACTCACTGTCATCTGCCAGGACGTTTGTTGATCAAAAATGACCTTGATGACTCAGTTTGGCACTCAGGAATATTGTAACCAGAATTTTTGCCTCCATGGCATCAGAAAGCAGGGGGGAGAACATCCATAAACTACATTTTAATAAGCTCTCCATTTGGCAGATCTGATTAAATAAAGCAAATGTTTTCAGGGGAGTACCACCTGCCAACCAAATGCTGGTATGCTTTGATAGTTTTTGAATTCATTTTATTTCACAAGCAAAGCTCTGGATAATGTTCATCACCAGAGGAAACAGACAGAAAATAAACTGAGGTTCCTACTGGAAAACAAATGCACATAAATGATGGGACACAACATGAATCTTTTACCAATAGGAAGATGAGCTGTGGAAATTGCATAATTTTCTAATTTCAAGTCTTCCTGATATGTGACTGAAAAAAGTGTGACCCAGTGGGTTGCACTAATCTCTACATTTTGTATAATATGTAAAAGAGAGATCTTTTGTAGAGCTTACTTTTATTATTAAATGTACTGAGGTATTATATTTAAAGAAAAAACACTTTCAGACTTCATCTGCCACTGTTTATTTTTTTTCCAAAGAGTAACTTGCAAGTTTTCAGTACAAATCTGTGCTACACTGGAAAATACTTCTAGGGTTTTTTTCCTTCCCTTCTTTTTTGCACCTTAGAATCTCATGGCAATATTGAGCTGTAAAAGTCTATTATTTTATATATTGGTGAGGTCCATGAATATCCTTTACGTTACATAAAACTCTTTCAGTATGATGGCTTTTTTTTGTTTGTTTTCATCATAATTTTCTCAAACATATTAGAGGAACTTACGTTGTGCTTTTGTCTTCATAGTGGCCTGATCCTGCCAATTCTGTCTTACTACCAGAAGTGGTCCTAGTGAAACCAGCTGGACCACTAAGATTAGAATTTGCAGGACTAGAGCCCGTAAGAAAGGTAATGAATTGTCTTTTTAATACAAAAGCTGGTATTCTGCTATATTAATAAAATTCATCTTTCTGAAACATGGTTTCCAGACCATTTTTGGCTGGGAGCTATAGACTGCTAAATCAGAACAGGCTAATACAATGTATGGAATATTTATTTTGGTAAAAAAAGCATTAGTGTAATATTTCCAATTTTTACTCTCTTAATGACTTTTTATCTGTATCATCTATCTAGTTAAACTGTTTGCTAATCTGAGACATATACAACATAAAAATAATGATTGGCATTATTTTTTCATGTTTTTGTTGCAAGAAGAACCAGGTCAGTCTTTTCTTTTTATGTTTTTAAGTAAATGAGCAATGCATCATGAGAGTTGTACTTTACTCCACATTATTTCAATCTCAGATCTTTTCATCCTTTATCCAGCTTGTGCTGAGGGAATCCTGCTTTTCAGTTTGATTGGTACTGAAAGCTTCTGTAACTTGGAAAGTTAAAGGGAGGTAGGAGTTCATATTTGTCATTTTCCAGTCCTGTTGTTTGGTCACGTGAAAGAAGGACTTTTATGTCCTCTGCTTTACCCTTCGTTAAAATTGTAGTTTTGAGCATAGAAGATGGGAAATAGTTGCCTAGGGAAGTTAGCAGACTCCCACTCTGTAAAATTCTGGTAAAATGACAATATCAAGATGATTTCTTAACAAAAGGAAACAGAAACAGCCATTTCCGGTTTGGATTCATTTTGTAGTAAATTTGCAGATATGAATACAGGGGGGTTTTTAGGTGTCAGATCTAGAATAAAAACCTGTTTAAAAAAGATTGGCTAATAATTCAGCTTTTAAATGCATTTTGCATTCTTCTGTATCCAGGTCATAGTTTTCTCTACCTTTAGCCCTCACAGGGCCTTAGCACAGAAGATGCTGAAGGAGGAAAGAGAATGAAGAGAACTCATGTGGGTTTTTCTCAGTTTTTGACTCTTTTTTTTTTGTTGTTCTTCATCATTTCTTCCTGAAACTGATCCATCTAAAAATCCTTTCAATCCCCAAGAGTGCCTGGAACCTTAATAATGGAAAAGCAATATAAATTCCAAAATAACCAATAGGGACCTGAAAAGGTTTTGTATCTGCACTAATTGAAAGTAAATGAAGAGAATAACACCATATTGTGAGATATACACCCATACATGTGGACAATCAAATAATAGAAAATTATATCATTTCTTAGAGCCAGGGATATAATGCACTGTACAATCTTTTTTTTTCCTCTTTTGCCAAAATGTGTTTTAGCATTGCACACTGTTTTAAAACAATACAGTTTACAAGTGGCTTTATGTGTTCTCAATATTTTTGCCATAAGAAAATGCAATGAGTTGGGTATTGAGTGGGGAAAAAAAGAAAATTCATATTGCTTATAACAGTACACTTTAGCTTGCAGGTTACTGTACTCAATAATGCTGTATTTGAATTCTTAAGTTGTTTTGTGTCATTGTTAAAAAACAATAATAAAAACAACAATAAAAAACTTAAATGAAATGGATTTTACAGAAAGCTTTGACAGTTCTTTTCAAACATGTTATTTATTTTATTTGTGCCATGCATTTTTCTTACCAAATGACCTTACCTGTAATACGCTCTTGTTTGTCTCTGTTTACAACCATTTATTTATTGTAATGTACATACTGTAATGTTAATTGTAAATTATCAGTTCTTATTATAACATCATCCCTGTCAGGGTGGTGTTGCTATATTTGGAAACTCTTGGTGAGAGAATGATTATTGTGTATACATATTCTTTGTACATTTTGTCTTCTGTAATATATTCTATGTCACCTTAGAGCTTGTTTATGGAAGATTCAAGAAAAGTATAAAATACATACCGATATATCAATAAAAAAAGCTTCAGGTCTTTGGTCCCAGGGCTGTGCCTTAACTTTAAACAATATTTTCTTCTGTTTTGCTGCATTTGAAAGTAAGGTAGCTATGGGGCTAGGGCTGGGCATTTCTACCATATTTTTAGTTCATACTAGTAACCCCATCAGTTAGCAACTGATATCATTCATACTACAATGAGCTTTCATTCATGACCCTACTGGAAGTTCAAGCTTTTCCAGACTTCTGGCAATATAATTGTATTTCCTCTCTGATTATCTTTTTACAGGCTATCATCATCAGGGATTATTGCAGCCATTACTTGCTCCTAAAAAAAATTGATGCTGTATTTCAGTACTGAATTGTACTGAAACAGCTTTGGAAAGCATCTCTAATTAGCATTTGATTTTAATGTGTATTGGAAAATGGAATAATTGGAATTAAAAGAGTATAACTCATGCACTTCTTTTACAATCGTCTGTAATATCCCTAATTTATTTAGTAGCACAAATTATCACTGTATAAGCAGAATCCATGAAGTAGGACAAAAGGCAACTTTAAACTTGGAAATGCTTTCCAACACTAATATTAGTGTTATAAGCAGCCAAAGCTTTTATTTTGTATAGATGTATCTAAGGCTTTGTACAGGTGTGTATAGCATAACGCACTATATCTACAGGAGAGTGGTAAACCTTTAGATCTTTTAATAACACTAGTATTAGATTTGCAGGTTGGACTCTGAGTATCTCTTGCTGTTTGACTATCACGTTGTTCCAGACTACTTAGAACTGATAGCAATGAATTTGCCAGAGCAATGTAAATAGCTCTCCTCCATTCTGGTGATGCCCAGCCCTTGTAGCATGTGACTTCTCAGTGAAAGGAGAGATTCTTTTTTCAAGGAAAAACAGCCTCCTTTTTGACACAAACTGTAGATTTTAGCAGCCCTGGCCCAAAGGAAATCAATTGCTTTTGTTTTAAACAGTATAAAAGGGATGCTATAATGACAGAAATCCTGAACAATTTTTGTTATTGTTTTAATTTGTTTTTTCCTTTGGGTATGTCTTGAGAGTAGCAACTTGTGTGAACATTGCACATGACAATTCTTTCACTGGTTTCTTAACCTCTCTTACAGCCTATGGGATAGTACTGTACATCAATACCTTCATATGAAATTTTTATATGCAATGGAAATAAAAGCATGGGTTGATTCTACCTAGTTACTCTATTTGATTTTCTTTTGCAAGTTGGTTTTTTTTACATACGTGCCATAGTTGTGACATTTTAAGAGAAAGCTTATTGCCAGAATATTACTGTTTTTTTGTCATCATACTGTGTTTTGCATAGATAATACAAAATAAATGGGGCAAATCAGAAAAGTCAATCAAACATGGTATTTCATAAAGAAGTCTAATCCAGAAAGGTGCTATACAGTTCTATAGAAAGGTGTTCAATCTCAGTTTTCAGGAAATTTTACCATTGGCTTCAGTGGCAGAAGCAGCCTATCCTGAGAAGATAAAAATTCAGCTTTAAAGGAACTAGGAGACTACAGATTGCCTAGAGGAGCAATACACTGGGATATCACAAAGAAAATAAAGAGAGTACCATAGTTAAATATTGACCAGACAATCTTGTTTCTAAATGGATGATAAAAAGAATTTTTTTTTTAAAATACAGTTCATAAATGACAGCTGTTGTCTTAAAGAATTGTGGTCTTAATGCAGGTCCAGCTCTTGAAGTGGCTTTCATGCACCTCTCCTTGATCAGAGTGGGGGTTTTGTTGTTTGGGGGGTTGGTCGTTTGCTTAACTGAAAATACTTTCTGATTGAATACAAAAAAAATTCTATGTCCATTTTTTCCTTAAATCTCTTTTAGATCCTTCTTTGGATTTGGGGTTAGTTTGCAAGGAGTACCAACCCTTAGGACTCCTTTTTAATCACACCTTGGTGGCAGAAGAGGCTGGTAAGTGCTGTGCTGGGAAGATGAAGGATGCTGCACCGAGTACGGTGGGGCAGATAAACCAGGTGGTGCCTGTCACTCTTGGCAACTTCATCCTCGCACATTCCCAGAGGCCCTAATGGGAAAATGGTTTGCATACATTATGGCTATTATGAAGGGAAGAAGGAACCCCAAATTCTTGTTAGCATTATTAAAACCTTTTCAGTAAGGAGCTCAGGTATCACAGTTGTGCACATGGTGAGCCTGAAGCTGGCAGGATTAGCCCACTGCTTCCTACATCCTCTGGCAGCACTTTCTCAGTCTCTGTGTGTGGCGATAATAATGCATCAGAACAGGCAAGTTTCAGAGCAAAACCAAAACGGATCCCCTGTTTCGCTGCTGCTATAGGAGCTGAATGTATTTTTGAACTAATGACTCCTTTATTTCCTAGTGAGACAAATAGTCTGAATAGCTGCAGCTTCATTCGCTCAATCTCTCTGCTGCACTGAAAACAAAAGTCACAGCTGCTAGCAGACATAGTGTTTACTGGGATGACCAGCCCAATTTCTCTACCAGCTGTGAATAATTTTGCATAGTTTTTCTGGAAAAAAAAGAAGAAGCAAAAGTTCAAAGATGTTATAAAAGCCTTTAGTTAGTTCAATTTAGTTTATCCTGCAGGGTAAAGAAAATCTCCAGCTTCCTCCTCTCAAACTGGTTGAGAAATCTGCAGAAGTAATAAAGGGGATAGGAAGGCCAAACAGAAATCTGAGTGATAAATTGGGAGTAAAACCTGGGCAGGGAGAAATATCCTCCAACTAAAATAATCTCATCCCGTCAAAGGTGATCCTGTGGTTTGGATATAGACATAGGAGAACTAAGTTTGAGTTTGATTCTGTCTCAGTTCCCCAGGTACAAAGCTGTATTTTTTTCCTTCTCACAAAGCAAATATTTTGAGGTCCTTGGAGTTATTGTGGCAGTAAGAACTATGTATGTATTTAAGATGGACCTTTAGAAAGTAAAAAATTGTTTGATACAATGCAGAGTTTAACACAGCTTTAAAGACTAAAAATGTGTGATTGTTATCTCTGCTAAACAAGCCCTTAGCATGGGAGAAGAAGGATGGCATCATACCTGGGTAAATAGCCTTTAATGAGAGGGAGAGGGAGAAGATACATGACGTGTGGCCCCAGATAGCATTAACTGTCTAGTGCTGATGAGCTGTGCAGCAGACAGCAAATGCAGATCAGAAACGCAACAGTCACATTGCACGGTTACGTCCAAGCATTGAACCTCTCACCCCCACCAGCCCTTACCCTGTCCTCTTCCAGCATCTGTGGAGTTCAGATGTCTATACTATCAGCATCTCTAATATGCAGCAGAGACCATTGTTTGTCTGAAGAAGGCTGGAAAAGAAAATACAGGTTATGCAGCATGTAGTAATCAAAGTACAGTTGGCATGCGTGTTGTACATGTGTAGGATGGCCTATGGCAAATGACTACCAGACATCATTACGTGGGGCTAGACAGAAACAGTTAAAGGTGGCTTAAAAACTTCAGTACCTTCTGCTAGTTGAAACTCTCCAGAACTAATACTTCAAATCTCTTACAAACTTACTTAAGTAAGTTTTCAAAAACTTGACTGGCTGCAGGGTTGACCAAACTAAGAGCTGTGCATAGCCCATTACATTCTCAAACTGTGGTTAGTGGTTTACATTGGCTGTCCTGACTGTGGCCAGGGGTAGACTTCCTAAACTGTGGTGGTGTTTGAAGCCTGATACAAAGCCTACTTGATGCAAGGGATAACTTGAGTGCAGAGACATCGAGCAGTCCCCTTCCTCTGATGAAAAGAGCAGCACTAGCTCATGTAGAGCTGCCTTTATAATCCAGCTGACTGTGGACCTCCACCGACACCTGGGTTTGTAACAGGGTCCTACATAAAGCAGTTCTTGGTTTTAGGATCTTTGCCATGGTGTGGAAAGAGAACAGAAGTGCTCTGCATAGTTTTAAATTTGTATGTATTAATTTATTGCATATACCACAAAGACAAAGCTTGTAGCAAACAAGGACGCGGCCCTAGCCCTGCTTCAAAGCAATCTTGCTTGCTCTCTTGCTTTCTCTCTCTCTTCTTCTCTCCCATAAGCCAGGATAGTATGTCTCTAATAACCACATGCATCTGGGAATAAAGACTGTGGGACACATTTATCAGGTGAGAGACTATCAAGGAATCAGTGATACAGCGTGTGTGCGATGATGCTGTGCTGATGGCAGCTGCAGAGAAATGTCCTTTACAAAGCTGTGCCTGTAAAAGGGCTAAAGAAATGCTTGAGAAACAGTAAATGGAAGACTATTTAAACAACCTTTAGTGCTACTAAGGATCTGATTGGAATCACAGTGTTCAGATTTGGTAGTGATGCTTAGAGATGCAGTTTGAGGAGAAAAAAAAAAAAAAACAATGAAAAAATAATGTTTAACAACCTGGAATCTTGCTGTCTAGCAGGATTCAAGGAATATGGCCTATTTATCTTACCCAAGAAAAGGTTAAGATATGGTTTGATCATATGGGGACAGAAATGTGATAGTCCCTCAGTCCATTCTTTTGTCTAGCAGGCAAAGCCAGCCACTGGCAAGGGAGCCAAATCACTGGAAGCTGACGTGCGACAAATTCAGGCTGCAGGACAGAGCAGCTGCGTCAGCTGGTTTCATTCACTCTTCGTGCTTGCAGGTACCTCACTGGGGACCAGGATCTGGGGAAACGTCACTGTTACAAGTGAGCGATGCGCTTGTGCTGGGAGCCACACACACTGCTTAGTGCCACAGGTCCTTACTTAAAGGGTATTTAATGATATGTGCAATTCACTTTGGTTTAGCTTTGCCTGAGAATGGGCTGGTTCCTTGTCCAAATGGGGGTGGGGGGTGAAGGAGAGGGAGGTGCTAAGAGATGGAAGGACTTTTTCTATTGCAAGAATTTTCAAACCATAAAGCAGTAGGGCTGTTTATTGCGAAAGAGCAAAACATTTTCTTTGCAGGCAAAAAGCTTTCTGTCTCTATTTCTAATAACAGCCTCCAGTCTGAGCTGATATTCTCATTTAACCTTCGTTGTTCTGCTCCTTCCCCACATGCTTGCAGGAGGGAAAGGACACTGCTGGATTTAGGGGTGCTGGCAGTCATGTTCCTCCTAATGCCAGCGTGGGTCCTGGGCTTGTGAGCCATGCGAGGGGGGGGAGATCAGGCTGCAGCACTCTGACCATTGCACTGTGCTGTTCACAGCAGTGGTTATGTGTCACCCTGCATTAGCAGCAGGGCATTGGCCCTGTTTTCCTCAGCTGAACCAAGACAGCAGGGTGTAATTGCACGTATGCCTCCCCCCATTTTTTTTAATGAGCTCAGCCCTCATCAGCCAGGCTGCCAGTGGGGTGAGGGCATCCAAAAGGGCCAGGCTGGTCTGCTTCTCTCTCTTACCCAAAAATATGTTTGGGATTGGGTTGCCTTCTCCCATCATCAGGTAGCTAAGTTTGACAGGGTTGGTTTACTGTTTTGGTCAACACGACTGTGTCCAGCCATGGGTGCAGTTCATGGAAGCAGACTCCTGCTTTCTAGTCTTGTGATATGACTAAGCTGTGTGCATGAATGTGTATGTGCATTTTCATATGTGTGTCTTTCACTTCCACGTACATCAAATAACTTTGCACTTGGATGGCCTCACCTGGCCATCTAGAGCTTGTGCTTCAAGTACCGCTATTCCTCCATCCCTAAGGAACGCAGTTACATCTCTTATTTAGGAGCTATGAAGCCTTCTGCGCTTAGTGCTTAGACACTCCCCACAACCAACAACTGGAGGATGGCCTGGCCCATTACCCCAGTTTCTCGCTCTCCAGGTGACACCATGACAAAATCCCTGCAGGAGGGAGTACTGCACCGCCAGTGCTGGAGGAAACTCTCCCTGGCCAGTGGGAGAGGAAAGTTTTGCAGTTTTTCCAGAGATATGTCAGAGCACTGTGCTGGGCTGCATGATGATGCATGGTGTGATGGTGTCCCACCTCACATGCTTTCAGGAGCTCCTTCTCAGTGTGAAATGAACGCTCACCTTAAGACAACCACGCGTTTCTGCGAGTCACAGAGCTTACGAAGCCAGTTTTCTTCTGCTCTGGTGTTTTTTCTGAAGTCATAAGCTCCCAGCTTAGCCTACCCCTGCACGAGTAGATACATGTGTGGGTTTTTCTCCTTTAGCTGGCTGTTTATTTTCATGAAACTATTAGGAATTTGGGCCCTTAAATGTGGTAAAATTTGGCTCACAGGTTCAAAAGTTAGAGGCCAGCCGTGTAGGCAGCTGGTGTTGGTGCATGGGCTGTGTTTCCTGGTGGCGGGGGAGACGGGGACTCCACTGCTTACAATTAGCAGCTGTCTCCTGGACCCCAGAGGAAAGATCTGCTTTACTGGAAGCATCATTTCCTTGGCAAGTACTGTCCATTAAAGTGCGACGGTTCCTGCTGCATCCCAAATACGAAATGAGTGGCAGACAACCTTCCCAAGGCCTCTCACTACTAGGGCGGGGCTGGTGGGGCCATCCCTCCTGGGGGGCTCTGCCTCCCAACTCCCGGCACAAGGTGGCTGCAGGAAGGGGCTTGGTGCCACGTGGAGTGGGGAGAGGCGCAGGGCAGTGAGTGCTACCCTCCAAGGTGTCCAGCTGCTGGTGCAATGGTACACTTCCATTTAATTAAACAAGTTAGTGTCTGTATGTAGAAGGAACATGCTTAGGATACAGTAGGTGTTGGTCTGGTTTTACTTATTTTTTTTTTTTTTTTGCTAGTGTGGCTTTTCAAGAGAAGAGTATCTCTGTAACACCTCCAGTTTTACTGAAGGTTACTCATGTAAGCCACCCTCAGGTGCAATTAGCTAATGAGATCTCATTGAAACCTATCAAAAATTGTCTGTTCAGGATTGCCTTGAAGTCTAGTATGAAACCTTCAGGGAAACACACAAGTGAGGAAAGGGAAGGGAGAAATGTTTCAAGGAAATTTAGAGAAAAACAGAAAAAAAAAAAGTATGAAAATGAGGTTATTACCATCTGGCCTGGGGTTTTGACACTTCTTTGCAGAGATGCAACAGCCTTCTGTGTCCTCTGATTTCTGCAGTCCCCCGGTGCTGTAGGCACCTGGGCCTTCATGTTGAAAAGCCATGGAGGGTCTGGGGGGGGCTGAGGGCAGAGAGGGAGAAACAGGAAGAAACTGAGGAACAAAGCCTCACTCAAGGAATGTCTCAACCACAGATTCTCTGCTGCTCTTGAAAGGATTAAAGAGCTACAAATCTCAACCAAAAAAAACCCACTGTGACCTGAGCCTGTTATGTACTGGTGTTTCAGGATGCACAGTTGCTTGCTCTCTTGCTCACACAGTGCTGTAGCAGACTTGCCTGGGCTCAGCCAGAGTAGTTGCTTGTTGCTAAATGCAGCCCGTAGGTCAGGGTGCCAGCTGCTCTGAAGTCATCAGAAGGATGGGTCCCCTGGAAAGCAGCCAGTGCCCTGAGGCTGAAATGCACTCCCCACCGCTCCCTTGCTTGGGGCCAGCCAGATCTGTACGGAGCAGTCTGTACATTTAAAGGGTCTTTAAATCCTACTTCCCAAAACAGGAGCAGGGCACTACGCTGTTCGCAGAGAACTGCAGGCTCTGATCCACAATGCTGACGGCACTGTGAGGCCAGGGCAGACATGATGCTGGGCAGTGTCCCCAGCAGAGCTAGAGGAGCTGTCCCTTTTTCCCCACCAAAATTCCCTGTGCAAGCCCCATCTTCATAAATATTAATACCTGCCAGTGCTTCTCACTAGCCCGCAGCTGCCCAGAGAGACTAGTAGGGATGTCCTTTAAAATATGTTGTTGCAGAACCCATTCAGCCCTTGTGTCTGATTCAGGTGGCTTCAAACCTCAGGCCTTCTGCTCTGTTGGGTTTGTTGGTCCCAGCACTCCGCCAGCCAGGGACGGTGGCAAGGCCCCAGTGCTGTTTTCCTGTGGGATGGCTGCGGTGGCAGTGCTGGAGCTCATCTGCTCCAGATGGGCTGTTTGCACAAACCACCAGGTGGGAGGAAGTATGGGTGGCGATGCAGCATGTTTCTCTGGCAGGTTGACAGGCTGGTAAAATCCTCAGGGCTTCGTGCTTGGTGAGTGGTGAAAATCACAGCTGAGTGCAATGGTGATGTTGTGTGGGGCCGAGTGGGGGGGTGGCGTGGCGAGCAGGGTGAGGTTTTGGGCTACCTGTGCTCTTTCTTACCCCCAGCCAGCCTTAAAAGCCTGGAGGTTTATTTTTAGATACATTTGGGCAATTTTCTGCTGCCTCTCTGCAGAGTTCTGCAGCTCTGCTTGTAGTCACAGCCCTCCCTGGCAGCAGTAACGGCAGCTTTTTTCATAACAGATGTTAGGGTTTGGCTTCTTTTAGCAAAAAATTATCCTCATGGTAGTACCCAAGCTTTCCTCTTCTGTACTGGATT